GCCGGGCCGCTGGGGCGGAGCAGAGACTCTGCCCCAAAGTCCGGGCTGCTCTCCAGGACCTTTGTTAGTAAAGTGAGCAGCGTTTCGAGCGCACTCGGCAAAGCCCCGCGCAGTGTTGCAGTGATCCCAGTCTGAAGGTGGTGCCGTTCGGGGATCGGGTAACGCGGTGCTTTTCTAGCGTGGGAATTACCTGTGAGTTCTGGCAGAGCTGGCAAAGCCCGGGTTAGCGGAGCATCACAGAGTTTTCCCTTGAGTTTTGCTGTTTGTTGACATCCACATCATCCGTCAGATAGTTTTATTGATAGTGCACCCATAACAGCTACAGTTAGCATAAATATTGTTGTACATCTGCTGCTCACAGGTGCTGATTGAAAATGAGTAAAGACAAGCAAGCTGATGAAGACGATGATGACAATGAGCTGTTTGAAGATTTCACAGAGCATTTTAACCAACTTGAGCTGCTGGAGACACACAGGCATTTGATTCCTGTAGGAACTCAGAGCTGTTGGTCAGGACAGTCTGATGATGATGATGATGAGCAAGAGAGAACGGAGGAATGGTACGAAATGCAAGAAAAGAAAATGGAAAAAAATCCAGAGAAATTGCTACTCTGGGCAGCTGAAAATAATCGGGTAAGGCACTTGCTCTGTTCATATGTATAATTTACAAGAATGTTATTTTGAGCTCACGTCTGTAGTCTCATCCACAAACAAAAATTTACCTATATTTTTCTTTCTTTCTCTGAGCTGTTTTGATCTGGTTTTGCAAGCCACTGTATGTGAAACATTCCCCAGTGTAGCCCATACACACTAAAATGTCTTTGGATCCATTGGCTTTTAGAACAAATTTTGATTCCTGTTCAAAGTTCAAGTAACAGCACTTTTCTTTAACTTCTGTGAACTGAAAGCATGCTAGACTCTTCGTGGCAAATAAGCCTTTTAACAGGGGTGGAGATGATGTATGTGAGATTTTATAAGTGCTTTTGACACTGACAGGAATTGCTTTTCCATTAAACTTCAGGACCATCAAAGTCATACATCTTGTTTCATAGAGTCACACGAAGTTCCCTGCTTTCTTTAAACAGCTGAGTACCGTGAAGAGGCTCCTGACGGAAAAGCTGGCTCCAGTGAACGCTCGTGATGAAGATCAATACACTCCTCTCCATCGAGCTGCCTACAGCGGGCACTTGGATGTTGCACACGAGTTGGTGGCCCAAGGGGCCGACGTTCACGCGCAGACCGTGGACGGCTGGACGCCCCTGCACAGCGCCTGCAAGTGGAACAACACCGGAGTGGCCGCGTTCCTGCTTCAGCAGGGTGCAGACATCAACGCGCAGACAAATGGTCTGCTGACACCCCTGCACATTGCTGCAGGAAACAAAAACAGCAGGGAAACCCTTGAACTCCTGCTGATGAATCGCTATGTGAAGCCAGACTTGAAGAACAACTTGGATGAAACTGCCCTTGACATTGCGAGGAGGACTGATATATATCACTACCTTTTTGAAATAGTAGAAGACTGCATAAATGCTGTGTCCCCCTAAAAGCTTGTGAATGTCAGGTTTTCTGCCTCTTTCTTTTTAGTGTTCTGCATGCCCATCGGTGGTGGTCTGTGTCTTTGCAACGACGTTTTAATGTAAGATACTTCAGTATTCTCCTCGGGCAAAATGTCACTTCCTGCAGCACAGCTCAGTGGTCATGCTCGTGCTTTGAAGTGTTACTGCTGTTAGTCAAGGTAGTCAGAAAGTCAGTAATTTCTGTGACTTTCTGTTTAATTAGTGCAGATTTGGAGAGGCCTTTGTAAGTTGTCTGAAGTGTCAAAGCAGGAGGGAAAACTGGAATATTTACTTGATGTGATAAAATTCTGGCTTGGTTATGCAGAGTTTATTACAGCTCACTTGAAAATTATTTTTTGAGAAATTTTAACTTTTTAAAAACTGCATGAAAGCTCAGAATGAATGTAACTTATTTGGGTGATACACAAAACGTTTAATGAACCTAATGTAAGGCTTATTATAAAATAAAATATTTAACCCAAAGTATTTTGTCATATTTTTAATTGAAAGCCCATTTAACACATTTATCGATGTGATCGCTTGTTCATAAATCAAACACGTTATTCACAGGATAAGAAAGTAGTTTTGATTTTTTTTCCTGGTGCTTTTCAAGGAAGTGACTTTCTATCAAGGTCTTATTTACTTTTCCCTTGCAAGTAAGTTGCATAAAGACTTAATGTCAAGAATGTGGTATTAGTTGGAAAAAATGAGCCACAACCATGTGAGGATAAACAGCCAGCATACTGTTGTGCCTGATTTAGTAACTGGTAATTTAGTATTTTCCTTGCACTTTTGAGTTAGACTAAAATTCCCCATGGTAAGGGCATGCAGTATGATTTTCAGGTTCAACTTCACCATCTGTAATTTAGAAGTGGAGAAAGCCGCTTCTCTGCTAAATGAATTGAACTGAAAATTGAATTTAAGTGCTTAAGTAATGTCACAGTGTAGTAAACGTTTCACTGTCCCATGCAGACACCATGCTGAGTGACCCTAAGCTCCTTTCACTAACACATGCACAGCACAATCCAACAGCAGGGTTGGGGTATATTGGGGTATATTGGCCCACATTTGGGCGACTGTGGGGAGTGTCGTGGTCACCCACCCTTTAGAAGCAGTGTGAAATGTTCAGCACTTTCTGCTGCAAAACAGAAGCACAGCTTCTGAACTGTGAATGGTGTAACATGATTTGAATGCTTACTCTTTTTGAAAGTTTGGTTTCAGGACATCTCTGGAAGATGAATGTATCTTGAAATGCATAAAGGAATAAAAGAGACGTGGATTACAAGGCCACTTCAGTCCAATAAGCAGTGTCTGAAGATGCTCTGTTTTATGAGCAAACGAGTACTTTTGAGTAGCAGTGGATATACATCAGTTAAACTGGACCCCGTTCTTCCCCTCAGTCCGCCATTGCCTCGGGCGAGGATGGTATCCTTCCGTAGGGCAGGCCCGTGGTGACAGCCCACAGCGGTACGGAGTTTGTGATGTGCGTGTCCCGCTCCCGTGGCCCTGCTGAGGGACACGAAGGAGCAGCTGTTAATGACTCCCAGAGCTGTCCCCCACCCCGTGCCCCAAGCGGCGGCCAGGGCCTGCTGTCCGTGGGGCTGGCGGCTGGCCGCACCTTGCCTGGGAGGCTCCTCCGTGCCGGGGCAGCCGG